TCCCATAACCGGTCCCGGTCCCGGTCGGTCCCGGTCCCACGAAACTACCAAAAACCTTAACCGGTCCCGGTTTTCGGTCCCATAACCGGTCCTTACCGGTCCCGGTCCCGGTCCCGGGCCGGTCCATAGTCGGTCCCGGTCCCGGTCCTCCGGCGGTCCCGGGCCGGGCCGGGCCCATTTGGCCATCTCTATTTGGCAGGAATGAAATGGATTAGGAGATTTAAATCCATTTCAATTTCATATTTAGCAGTTGGATTATTTGAATTCGAAATTCTAAAATTTAATTGAAATACTATTAGTTGTGTATCTAGAAATGCAGCAGTAATCGAGAATTTTAACGATTTTGAAGTTTTATTGGTTTTATTAGAAACGATTTAACAATGATATAAGTTACATTTGGGCTTTACATATTAATACAATTTGAATAAATAAAAGTTATGATTCCAATTACAGTCTATCGATGAAAAAAATTGTATGACAGTTTAAAATCCAATATATATAAAATCTAACATATTTAAACGACTCCACAAATGTAATCGATTTACACCAGGAGCAAAGAATCAAGAAATCGAGAGCGAGATCGAGATCGAGAGTTTTAGAGCAATTGAATAGAAGATGAATGAGAGAACGTTTAATAACTCATGGTGAATATGAGTTTGAATATCGCCTTGGGGGATGGAGAGAAGACATAGAGGTATAAGAGGGTGAATGTATGAGTGAAAGGTGTCAAAAGTTTTTGGGAACATGAAAAGAAAAGACAATAATGTGCATTGGTAACTTGTAACATATGTTATTATAATTGTAGATTAAGAGATTTTAAGACTAGATGCATAAAGTAGTAATACTTAATGCATTATGAGTTGTTTTTAAGACTTTGTACATAAATTTATAATACTTTGTGTATTAAAAATTGTTTTTAAGACTTTTGATAAATTTGGTTTATAAAGTAGTATAGATGATCGATTGATAGAAATGTAATATAATTATTTTTATAATTATTAATATTTTTTTATTAATTATTTATAAACAATGGAATCCACTTTCTCTTCTGAATCCTAGAAATTAAACGCACAAATGATTTCAAATCTCTTCTAATCAAAATCCAAATCCTCTCCACGAAATACTAATCCCTAAAAAAACAATCATGCAAACCAAACATATCCTAATTATCTTTTAGATTTTTCTTTTTAACAAAATAAAAACTAGAGTAAATTACAGATTTGGCCCTTGTGTTATGTTGATTTTTACGAAATTCGTTCTAGATTTCATTTATTATGGATTTGGTTCTTATGGTTTGTATTTTCTATTGGATTTGGTCTTTGGACCAAACAACGATATCCATTTTATTCGTTAAAGTCGAGAGCATAAGAGACTTTTTTTTTTCCTTTTTCTTTTATGTAACATTTTTAAAATTAATTTTTTTAAATCAAGGGCTATAGTGTATGTATTGAAACTTGGAGGGCTAAAATAGAACATCATTTAATAAATATCATATTAAATTGTATATTATATATAGACATATCTATATTATATTATAAAACATTTGGTAAAAACTCTTAAAACCATTTTTTTGTATGAAATATTGTTTATTGATGCATATTACTTAAAATTTAAGATTATAAGTAAATTGTGCGTAAATACAACTTATTAAAGCTACATGTTTAAATTCATGTAACTAACTACAGATAAACGTAATTAAATATAAGATAAACATCTCATTTTTAAATATAAAAGATCTAAAATATAATTAGGATAGTCATTTACTTTTAACAAAATACTTAATTATTATTTTTATAAAAAAATCATATTATTAAACCAAAAATAAATAAAATGATTTAAAAAAATACACAAAAAAATTCAAAATTTTATAATATCTTCAAATTTATATCTTATTTAAAAATAAAAACATTACGCTTTCTCAAAACCACATAAAACCATATTATAACATTGATCGAGACAAAAAAAAAAGGAAACAATAAAATTGAGATGTAAATCGCTTGAGTACGAGACTTTTTCCCCAACATCTTCCATGGCCAGTTATGTGTTTCGTCCCTAACCTTACTTCACGGTTGCCCCAATCGGCCACCGCTATCCATCTCCAACACACACACATCACAAACACACACACATAGATCACAGATATACCATCCATCTCCAGTCACCTCCCGATTTGTGTCACGGACCAGAAGCAAAACTTGATCAATGGAACTCGATTTCTTTGTGTGTGTGTGCATCGCCGAATGGACCAAATGTTTCTTCATAGACCTTTATCTTCGTCCCCAACACAAGCAGCGATCTCCTCCCTCTGGTTTCCACCCCCTTGGCCATCCTTCCCCGACAATGCAGCGTGTGTGTGAGAGAGAGAGAGAGAGAGAGAGAGAGAGAGAGAAAGAGAGAGAGAGAGAGAGAGACCGTTGCAGTGGTGTGCTCCATAATAAAGATCGTGTGTGTTTGAACGGAAGTTGCAGATAAGTGATCGCGAATTTTTGTGGTGGGTGGTGTAGGGGTGAAAATGAAGGTTGTAGGTGTAGAGATGGAGGTTGCAGGGGCTGATATGGAGGTTGCAAGGGGGACAAAAATGAAGACCGTGGATAGTTTTCAGGCACGTGGGGGGAGAGTGATGATCGTTAGTTAGGGACGATGGTGATTAAAGTAGTGGAGAATACAGTGGATTGTGGTAGTGGTGACACAGCGAGGGTGGTGGGTAACTGGAAATGGTGTTCGTTGACAGAAACGACGTCGGAACAATATGGGGACGATAAGTTGGAGAGGAAGATGAAATGTATTCATATTTGGCCCTCCAAGTTTTATTTCATACATTTTGGTCCCATATTTTAATTAGGTTAATTAAAAAAATGTCAAAATGAAAGGAAAAAAATAAGAAGACCATTTTGCCGTTAAATTTAACGGACTGGTTAGATGTCTATTAGGGAAAAGGACCAAATCCAATCGAAAATACATACCACAAGGACCAAATTCATAATAAATCAAGTTTGGGGATGAAATCCATAATTTGCTCTAAAAACTAATTGCATTAAAGAAAGAGTAAGGGGTCGTTTATCAAACGCTTACCCGAGTAAGCGATTACCAAGTAACATTTATCTTACCAGATGAATATGGTAAGGATCAAGAATCTTACCTGGTAAGAGCGAGACAAGGACCAAGAGTCTTACCCGGTAAGTGAAGGCGATTACTCTTACCACGGTAAGCGCTTACCGGGTAAATTTTTGTATACTATGTTGTTTTGGTGGACTAAAATCTTACCCGGTAAGTACATAATAGTGTTAAATTTTACCGGTAAGCACTTACCGGGTAAGTGTTTGATAAACAGCCCCTAAATCATAATTTTCTTTTCATTTTCGTGGTTTAGAAGTTTTGATTCTTGTCTCTACAGTTTGTAATATATTTACTAATTATGTTCCTAGACTAAATCCTATCTTTTAAGTATAAGGGACCAAAACAGTAGAAAATTGTAAACTATGGGATCAAAGCAATAATAAATTGTAAATTATAAGGATGAAAATAACAATAAATTACAAACTATAAGAATAAAAAACCATGATAAATCACATAAAAACGTAATTTACTCTTAATCAAATGATAAACTTAGACATGTGTCAATCGACATAATCAAGTTTAAATATAGTTGATGATCTAACAATCCACGTCATCATATGCTACCAATGGAGATTTTGATGATTTTTTTTTATTAATCTGGATATCCAATCTGCTATGCGAGCCGACTAATACCAGGATGACCATCTGATTTGCAAATAGGCCAGAGTCACCGCATTTGAACCTCCGTAGCCACAAGAGGATTTTTATTCCTCCTTGGATTTGAACCTGAGACCTCCTGATACTTTTAACCTTTGGAGCCAAGCTCAAACCAATCAAACACCACCCTTGTGGCTCAAAAGGATCTTCAAAAATGAAGAAAGTATGAGAGAGAAATCTAGAAAACTCTCCAACAATAATTACTGAGAAAAGTGAATTATATATTATTTACCGGTGAGAAATCTTGAAATTCAATGTTTAAATATTTTATTAATTGTATTGAATATTTTAATAATTCAATTAATGTTGTAAATACCAACATGAAGAAGCCGTTGGATATGAAGGTAATTCCTCTTTAGAAATTGTGACTTTTGATTCTCCGTTTTGGAGACTTTGTATACTTTCACGAGTTAAAATCTGTATGGATAGAAAAAAATGAAAGTTTGTTATATTGAATGAGAAAAAAAAAAAAAAAAACTTTTTTACATTTGATAGGAACTAAATCAAATTCCGTTACATTTTGATGAATTTTACCCTAAACCATAATAACGTAATTTCTATTTACCAACCTTCAACCACTTTGGTTGCCAAAATAATTACGTAGAGCATTTTGTTACCGGTTCAGTAGGCATTTGTATGGTACAAGTTTCTAATGCATTGGTACATTCTTTACATTGTATAAATAAAGGGAATGAGCGGTTAGAGGGGCCATCAGTCAATGTGTGTGTGTGTGTGTGTTTTGGGCGAAAGCCTTTGGAGAGTACTCGACCTCCGAAAGTCGAGAAACTTCTTTGTTCACCGGATATCTTTTATAATCTTTGATAAGCATGGTTATTACATGCTTAAAGTACCCATTTCTTGTGTTTAATAGGTAGATTTTCCTAGTTTATCCCAACTTTGAGTCATTTTTACTTTCTTATTTTCTATTTGTTATGTTTGGAGCTAAATGTGGTGATTGATTTGTTTTTACAACAATTTGGGAGTAGATGACATCTTTTGACTTACAATACTGCACTATAATGTTGCAGCATTCCAGCAGCATTGTCTGGATCCGGTTTGGCTTTTTGGAGAAGTGTTTATTGGTTAAGTCATTGTCAAGGAATAAAGTCTTAGCTGAAGAAGCCTTCGTTTTTGCCCTCAGCCAGCTGGTGAAAAGAGTGGGAGAAGACCTTTTAGGATGACATATTGTGATGGAGAGGATGCCACATTTCTAGTCTTGTCATTTGTACTTTTTCCTTTTTTTTATGTTTTTGTCTTTAGTATATTTTGTATGTATAAAAGAGTGCATTGAGTGCCTCTTTTGAAGACACCTACCGGACAATTGTTCTCATAACAATTGTTTAAAACCCTCTCAAATTATTAATGTTATTTGTTAGCTTTTAAGTTTAACTTAATTATTGTTCTTCATATTTTGTTATTTATTTACTCTTATCTGTCATTTACTTTCCGTCATTTAGTTTCTGTCATTTATTTTCAGTCATTTACATCCATGTCTTTACTTTATGTCATTTATTTATGTCATTTAGGGTGCGTTTGGTGCGCAGACAGGACTGGACAGGACAGGACAGGACAGGACAGGATGGGACAGGACAGGACAGGACAGCTGTTCAGCGTTTGGTAAGACAGGACAGGACAGGATAGAACTGGTTAAAATGACCAATTTACCCCCAGTGAGCTGTTTAGTATTTTTTCACGACGAAATGCATTATGGTAACACTGGTACTACTACCACTACAACCCTAATAATTCATCAACAACAACAACAACAACATTCAGCAATCATAATCAATGTAAACTCTCGAAATAAATCATAATACTTCATTAAAATCCCTAATAAGTACTTCAATTAATCAAGTTGTTGGCGAAATCGAGTACGAAACCACCATCAAAATATAATTCCTTACTTGCATGAAACAAGAAGAAAGGTATTTGAAGAGTTTCTTCAAATTCGTGATGTAGTTGCTGTAAGAAGCAGCAGCGGCCATCGGAGAAGCAGCAGCGGTGGCCATCGGAAGAAGCAGCAGCGGCCATCGGGAGAAGCAGCAGCGGCGGCCATCGGAGAAGCAGCAGCGGCGGCCATCGGAGAAGCAGCAGCGGCGGCCATCGGAAGTCGCCGTCACCGGTCGCGCGGTTGAGCGGTGGAAGCGATGGAGGAAAGGAGAGTGAAGGGGAAGAAGGATGGTATGCGTATGAGGTTTTTGAGGGTAAAGTGGTAAAAAGTTTCTTGTTCTACTTAGTTCCATGGGTAAAGGGTGGACAACCTTGTCCCACCCTTGTTCTAGTTTGTTCTAGTTAGTCCCACATAAAACCACACCAAACATAGGACAATTGTGTTCTGTCCTGTCCTGTCCCACTCTGTCCAACGTACCAAACGCACCCTTACTTTCAGTAATGAGTAGCTAATTCCATTAGCTCGGGTGTAGGGTAAATGGTGAAATGTTAAACCGAATGAAAGTGGACATTGTTTCACAATAACAATGTTCCACTATTTCATTCAAGTTTTATAAAACCAAGTACACTTCTTGACAAGTTGATCACTTTGAAAGTGTTAAAGTGTCATGGACTTAGAAATAAGTCATGATAAGCACGTCAACTTGAATGATATGAGAGGTAGACTTGAGAAAGTTGCCGACAAGGAGACTTGTCACTTATGTTTTTCAAACTTAACTCCCGACGGGTTGGTCGCTCTCTAAAAGTGTCAAAGTGTGATAGATTCAGAGATGAACTGTCAAGAACACGCCAACTTGAATGATATGGGAATCGACTCGAAAGAGAAAGAGTAATTTTTAACAAGGAGATTTGTTTAGCCATATATCTTGAAGACACCAATTTGTCACTATCCCTGGTCCTAACACCACATAGAGATATGGGTGCAAATCTATAATATAGTGCAAAGGTGAAGTCCGAGAGGAATACCTTCAAGATAAATGGTGGAACTAGTTCTTCTACAGCATTGTCTGTTGGATTTTGTGTTTACGTTTCACCCCAAGTCTTACACCCGTGCTACCTTTATTATTCTGCTTTACTATTCTGTTATATTTATCTTTGTTAATTCAGAATCAGACTGAAGTCTTCAATTTCGTCATCTGAAATCTTTTCTTTCACTGGACTCTTATTTAACTTTTGTTCCAATCCCTGTGGATGATATTCCGGTACTTGTATCACTTTATTACTTGGAAAGACGATATTGAGCCATATTGTATACTTGCTTTGTGGCCCAATTCTTTAGTCTAGAGGTGTTAGTAATAACCCGACCAATCTTCCAGTTCGTTGAATTCGAATAGAATCTACACGTTCAATTATCAAAGTTTGTATCAAATGGTATCAGAGCAGTGCGATGCTTGGAGGATGATGATTAGAAGCATTGCATCTCAAATCGAGGATTTGGAGAGCAATGACAATTTAAGATACATGGAGCAAATTTAGTGGACATTCAAGAACATTTACGATCTATGGAATAAGGACATGCAAACAACGAAGATATTGATGGGTAAACTTATCAAATTGCAAGAAGACAAGTTAAGAAGAATCAAGATGGATTTGTATTCTAGTTTGGGAAGAAATTCAGGAATTCGAAACAACAAATTGGGATATATAATAATCTAAATCTATTAGAGAAAGAGAAGAATGGAGATAACTTAGAAAAAGAAAACATAAGAAAGATCACAAGCAAGAGGGATGAAGATCATTCATATCAAAATATGGGGCGAGCACCATCGGTACTGTCGATTTCACCACCGCCTCTGCCATCGTTGTTGCCAATCTCATCATAGATGTGGCGTCTCCACCCTCCTAATTGTAGATTATGGCATGTCTGTTGGCTGGCGTTGTGGTCGAACTCGATTATGTTTCCGTTATGGTTGTGTCCATCAGCGAACGTAACACAGACTGTGAAAAAGACGTGGATCGTTGGATCTAAAAACCAGTTTAGAAATGAAATAGCCCAGAAGCCATGAAAGCACAGTCTAGTGATTCTATCAAGCCCCAATCTCAATCCTAATCGAGTGCTTTTATGGATCAAGGCTCCAGTGATTTTAGTTTGAGCTAAACCCGTGTTATGTCTAATTAACGACATAAATAAAGGGCTGCCTTTTTTTAATCCTAAAAATAATACAAATTTTGTCTCTTCACCAAACTCTATCTCTTTGATGGAAGAAGGGGGAGAATGGTTGGCCGATGGCCATTGGAAATTACCACCACCATGGCGGCCACCAGTATTGTCGTTGTCGTTACCACCACGGTTGTTGCCACAACTCTAACCATCACCAACAATCATTGATGTCAATTGTTGGAATCAATTCCAATTTGATTTTTTCCGTGTACATTGGGTGTTCTAATAAATAAGCCAAATAGAGTAGACTATGGCACAAGTATGTAATGTATTCGTACATGCTGTAGGCAGTATAAATAAAGGGACCGAGCGATTAGAAGGGCATCAATCAGTTTTTGTGTGTTTTGGACCAAAGCCTTTGGGAGTACTCGATCTCTCGAAAGCTGAGAAATTTCTTTGTTCACTGGATATTTTCTGTAATCTTCCGATTCATTGAATTCAAATAGAAATTACACATTCAATCATCAAAGTTTGTATCAACGTGTTGGAGATGCTGTTACGATTATCCAAAATTCAGTAAGAAGACATTTGATACGCAGATAAAGTCGAACTGATGAAACAAACAATAAGGGGTTGTTTGTTTACCTCTTAATAGTTTCATTAAGAGGTGAATCTTGTTTGACAAAAAAAGTCTGCCTCTAAATGGTTCTAAAACTCTCTGAATATTTTGTATCCTAAGCCTCCCTTAATCATTAAGCGCCCTGATTTCATTACAAACAAGTACTAAACAATTATATTTCATTTTGCACTATATCATGAAAGTCTATTAATCATTTTACATCAAACCATTCAGCAACTGTAAAAAAAAAATGAATTTAAAATCCTAAAACTTTTCACCGTATATGGTAATGAAATATTTGAATACATTTTGTCAAAATTCATTTTAGATCCACCAAGTAACGGGTAGTCAACCCGATCCGATTGGTGTTGAGCTATCTCTCTCTCTCTCACACACACAGCTGGGCACTTGGGGATATTCTGTAGAATTAGGGCAAACTGATTGACGAGTGATCATACTGTTTCTTCAATGTCTGCATCAAAACGCAATTTCTGATTGTTCGTCTTCCATCCTATTCTCAGGTGGAATCTAAATCTCTACAGCAAGCTTCTACTTCCATATCCATCCTTCTTTGAACTTTCTGTTGTGATTAGTTGATGGTGAAGTCAAGAGTTCCATGAGTTATTAGGGTATCGTGGATTTTGATTCCGGAAATTTGTAGCTTTTCGTTGACAAGTTCAGTTGATATCGGTGGTTAAGTTAGGATGGGACTTTATCATTGTCATTAGTTTAGAACTCTCGCATTCAGAAATTGGAACTGTTTCTCATTTGCAGATACATTTCTCCATCATCTTTGATTCCCTGCAGCAGTACAGGGGTGTTACTGATCAAACCAAATCGGGAAAGGTGGGCGAGAGAATGCAGAAGCTTGGCGAACTAAAGCTCCCTCCCTTCTTCAATTATCCACCATACTTCACGTAACCACTTCCTTCCCTTGCAAATTAAACCAGTTGTTAATCGTTGTATTTTAGATTATTCTTTGGCCATTTATGTATAGTTAAACATTCTGCGCCAGAACCAGAAGTAAAAGTTTTGGTAGACAGGGATCATGTAGGAATTTCATCCGATGAATGGGCAAGGACCTGTTCTCTCTTCATATTTCGTTTTCTCCTTTAGATTCTACCGAAGTTTATGTTGTATTGAAGGTTCGAAGATTATTGACTAATTGTCAAAGACAAGAAGTGAAATTCCAAATTGGAAGACATTGCAGAACTGGTAACTTGTCTTAGGATTGCTAGTCACACGCACAATCAAAATGGCAGGAAACAAATGGGGGAAGACAGTATTTAGGTGGCTTAGTTTGTAACGATTTGGAAATCCATGTAGGTAGTCTACCTTTTTAAAGAAGAAAAATAAGACCCAAAATAACTATCAACCACCATAGTTTAATTAGTCGAATTAGGCTTTATATCTAACACTTGGTTGTTTATTCTGTCAAATATCTATCCGCAAAGTGTAAGTTTTACTTTGTGAGAGTACCTGGCATCTGGGATTGGTTACCAATATTTGTGTTATACTTCATATCAGTAGCAGCGAGATTAGAGCATGCTTTTAGTTGCCCTGCAGTGGTCATTTGTAAGATGCTTTATGCCATTTTATGTAAAGTGCAAGTGAATTCTGGCTCAACAGTCATCCAACTCGGATACTATCTTTCAAACGGATCATCTTGTTTCTCGGGTTGTATTGGGTTTCAAATGTTAAAAAGCTTCCCAAAGTATCTGTCATAGCATAGGAGTTAAATTGATGCTTAGTCACATCAATGAGTCATGGAAGGGTCTGAGGTGTGCAACATTGACCCTTCTAAGTGAAGAGGCTGTTATCTTCTCAAATTGTGTTTTGAATAAATATTCTTAATCTCTAATTTAGGAAGACTCCATCCCACTAGATATCTAGACAAAAAAGAGGTTCTTATGAATTTTGACACAAATGATTTTATTTTGATGCTAGCGTTTAATTGTTTTATATTATTCAGCTTAAAATAGTCTTGAATTAGCTTAAATATTTGATGGTCTGTTACTCTTTCTGTGGACTCTTTGACTACAAGCATGAAACCTTCACCTTCTGCAATATAATTGAGATGCGACTCAAGAAACGAGAATGAGCTTTTTATAAATCTGGTTGTGTAATATGTTTAACCATACCAGAGAAGTTGCAAGCCGAAAGTAAGCTGGTAGTCTTTTGATGATGCAACCATGTGTAGTTGCGCGCCAAAACTGTTTATTGCGTTCCACTCTTTGACATATACTGATTCAGGACTTACTAAGTATTTTATGGTAATTTCCATCAGGTTGCAGCCTGTGAGGGAAACTCGAGAGAAGCAAATACAACTATGGAAGGAACTAATTCTTGATTACTGTCGAACGCAGAAGATATTTGTAGTTGGATTAGAAGAAGACTTTCCACTCTTCTCAAATCCTGCCATAGAAAGTAAGCATTGCCTTCTTCTGATTTCCAGATAGTTCTCAGATATAGTTGACTGACATGGTGTCCTCTCTTTTTCTGGTCTTCACCATTTGCATATTTAGATAGTAATCGATTCAACATTTGACTATAATGTTTTTGGAAACTGGTTTTCTATTTTCAGTGTTGGGTTTGATTTACATGATTACATTGTTACCATGCCTTTCACAAGATGAACACTTTTGATAAGCTTACGTTGGGTAGCTTTACTACATCATTCAAACATGTTATAGAGAATAATATACACAATGTTCACGCGATCGTGCATGTAGTTTGGTTTTATTATAGCATCATTTCAGGAACATATATCTGGATGATAACCTAATCCCTCATTCATCTGCTCAGCTGGGGTAGTTCAAGTGGTTGGATCTTTAGATAACACAGAGGTCTTAGTTAGAAATACAGACATGTCTTGCCTTGTGAAGTAGAACGTTACATAACCTAGAGGCCTTCAATTAAAATTATACACATGCATCGGCAAGTGAGCTACCACGGATGTGTCACCTAGCGAACTACAAAAATTTCACCCTCTTGAACATGGTATCCCTAGTCTCCAATAAAGTCCTCTTATACGATAGCGCTTAGTCAGATAATGCGTTTGTTTTGCTGGATTTCTTTCATTCCTTGGTGTTTATGGTGCTTGTAAATGGTTTTGATGGCTGACATTACCACTTTCTTTCATTTGGAACATTATTCAAAACACGATAAGTTGCCAAAAATTTCAACCGTGTATGGTCATAGTTACTTTAGTTTATTAAACCAAACCAAACAAACCCAGTAAGTCCCTCACAAAGTAGGGGCTGGGAAGGGTATGATATGATGTACGCAAACCTTACATCCACCCTCAGGAGCAGAGAGGTTGCTTCTGTGAAACCTCGGGTTTGTAAGTTACTTTAGTTTATTGAATTAACTAAACAAGACAATATGGAATAAGAATTTCCAAGTTGTGATCAAGGAAATTTATGTGCGACCATTATTATCAAAACGTGCAGATTAACAGGCTCACTAAACTGGCTGATCATGTTGAACTGTGCTTGCCTGCTTTATGTTCTGCAGTTTATTTATTTTGCTGAAACAATTTTGAATGTGGTTGTGCAGGGTCTCTAAATCACGAGGCAAGAGTAGCTTTTCTCTCGGCTATAGTTTCAGATGGTTTGTTTTCTAGCTAACAAATTGGATTATCCTTTTCACTTTCATAAATCTGATGATCTCTAACAATGCTCTTAGTTCATTACCAACTAAAAGTTGTCATTCAACAGGTCGTGCAGAATGGATGGATAAGGGTCATAGACGGTGTCTCATCCTCTGGCATCGGATTCAAGACTGGGCAGACATTATATTGCGCTTTGTGAGTAATATAGCTACCCTTGCAGGCATTAGTTCCTACTTTCCTAACATTAATTACTTCATGCTTTGCTTAGGTGAAGGAGAATGGATTAGAGGACAGTGTAATGACGGTGGAGGAAATGCGTTCGGGGATTGAGTCACGTGGAACAGGTAAACGGATCTTTACAGTTTTTAGGATATATAATTAGACATGATAATAGTGTCACAAATTCTTTTTTAGTGTATGGATGATTGTTAGGATCTATAATCACACACACCGGGTAAAAGTTGTTGAGATTGAAAAACCAATCAAAGCATTCATTTGGTTCAACAATTCACCTAAATGGATGGTGTTTGGTAAGATGCTTATTAGTATACTTGTATCATTTGCATGAAGAAATAGAAAATGGACAAGTACCAATTTACCATCACCGCCTACCTACCATAATTGTTTTCTTTCAAAAAACCATTAAGTCATAGTTGGGTTTACAGTCCAAGCTCGGGTCTGAATCCAACCCCATGGTGGATAATTCCAGGAGCATGCAAAGGATACGCTTGGTACGCGGGATAAGGGAGATGGGATAAGATTTTTAAATTACCAAACTATTCATGTCAACTTAAAACTTTCAAACCTTCTGCATTTCTTTCGCCTGCCTACTTCACTGGCCTACTCTCTTTTGTCTAGTCCTTTCCGCGTACCAAAAGCACCACACGTCCTAAAGAGCGCTATCAAGCTTATGATCATGTTCCTAGATGATAGTCTTATTTTTCACAATGGTTGCTTGTGTTCTGAACATAACATGGTCAAAGATTCAGGACGTTACAATCGGAGATCAATCCTATTCTATGATCCAACAACTGCGTTTTTCAGAGCTTTTGGAACCATCTTGCTATCGGATGTGTTTGTGTTTGTGTTTGCATTTTCTGTTTTCGTTTTCATTGTCACAACTTAAATTTTCATCAATTACTAATTTCCTTGCAGACGTTCACGGGATGGACCGTACAGTTTTAATGAGAGCACTTAAACTTCTGGAAAACAAGGGAAAACTTGCAATCTTCAAGGGAACTTCAACTGATGATGAAGGTGTAAAATTTTCTGTTTGAAAGTAACATGAACACATAACGTATTGCTATGTACCCCCGTGGTTATTTTTCTTTTTTCACGAAAACAACCGTTGGACCCTGCTTTCAAGTCATATGTATTTGGGTTCATTTAGTTTGGTTTGATTCAAGGGGTGTCTGGGATTGCTTATTTAAAGTGTTGGTTAACTTATTCCGCTGTGGTACCTGTAATAAAGAGTTTTTAGTATTTGGATGAAAAAGAAAAGAAATACTTGTACCGGTTTGACACCAGTAATAAGGAGTTTTTTTTTATAAGTTACTCCCTTCCAACTTATTAACTGATTCCGGTATGGTACCAATAATAAGAAGTTTTTAGTGTTTCGATGGGGAAAAAATGAAATGCTTATCAGCTTATTATGTTTGATATTAGGGCAAAATGCGTAAAATAGCAACCTACTTTTACAAATTTTCTTATTATAGCATTCTACTTTCAGTTTTTCTTATTACAACAATGCACTTTCAAAATATTTTTTATTAGAGCATTGTACTTTCAAAAATTTACCCATTATAGCATTGGGTAACCTGTTACCTTTTGAACAGGTTTTTCTTTGTTGACTTGTCAAATTTAAAATGACATGGAAACCATGTAGGATAACATATTACACATGGATATCCTACGTGTCATTTAAAAAAAAATTTAAAAGCAATTTTTTGAAAATGAAAAACGTCAATCCCTCTCATTGTTTAGACTGTTCCTTCTCATCTTCTTCCTGATGATTGTTCATTCACCCACAGTCCCTCAATCGCACACATCGCCTTCCTCTTTGACCTAATCGACCCTCACCATCTTCTTCCTTATCAAATCTAAACCCTAATCGACTCAATCTCATCGACTTCCTCATCATGCATCCTGTTCCAACAGGTAAGTTTAATATGTTTTACAGCAATGTATATGTACATTTTCTGTTTTAGTATTGGTTACTAATAGAAGCCATGACTATCTATCTATCTATGGGATTTCTTATCTTAGGTTTGATTATGCTGCATGTACTATGAATGTTGCTCCAATACTATAAAAGTAGCTTTCTTATCTTATCTTAGACTGATGCATTCATCMATTGCTTCTGATATCTAGTAAAAGGACATCCRTTGAATAGGATTTGCAYCTAATACCTGCACATACAAAAAACAATCGTGCAGGTTCCTTTAGTTACTTTTCCTTATTATCATGGACCACACAGTATCAAGAAATATATATTTAAAACGAAACAGCGTTAAACTTTAAAACGGGCTAAACCATGATAAAGTGAAATCAGCTTCTTGACATCTCTAAAAACCCACTAGAAGAAAAGATCGGCCAGTCCCCAAGTACTAATATTTGATTTAAGATTGTTACCATCAAGAACCTGTTGTATTTTCATTAATAAAATGCACAAGCTTACTGAAAGCAGTTATGTGTATTTTCATTAATCTGGCACTGAATATTGTGTGGACTGCTTAATAACCAATTCCATGTGGTATTTTTCTTCATTTTCACACTGCAGCCTGTGTATATGGCGTTGAATAAAGAGCCAATTGATCATGCTCATTGATYGGTGACTCGAATAAATACCACTAGAAACTAAAAGAACAAACACTAATCAATCAACGAATTCCTGTTCTGTTTCTTGCTTCTTAGATGGAATTCACCCGAATATAATTCATTGCAACATTCAAGGTTGTCATACTAATGTAACAAGCAAGTTTGCATAAAACTGTTTCAAGTTTACCAATAGTTTCAAAGCAAAAAAGGGCCATTTCCTTTGCTAACCATGGTAAGCGCTTACCGGGTAAATTGTTGCATATGATGTCGTTTTAGCGGACTAAAAATCTTACCCGGTAAGTAAATAATAGTGTTAAATTTTACCGGTAAGCACTTACCGGGTAAGTGTTTGGTAAACGGCCCCTAATTACACAATTAAAAGTTAAAGAGATTGTGTTAAATCTTATATTGATGCAAAGAGTTATGAACTTACCAAACTGACGCCATAGAAGATTAGAAACAGCCAATTGCGATCTTTTAACACACAAAAAATTAACTAAAGATGGGATATTTACATGGACAAAGCAGTAAAAGGGGTGCACGAGGCGGAACAGGTTCACAAAGGGATGTTAGAAAGGTAATGTAAAATCTTCGAGTTTCATACTAATTTTATATATCAATTGCATACTAATTTGTTCACTAATTTGTACAGGAACCATCTAAAGTGGAATCACAACCAAAGCTCATCCCAAAAAAAAAAGGAGGCCAAGTAAAAGGATAATCTTGAACAACCTACGGAAAAATACCGTTGAGAAAGATGGAGAAGGTAGTAGTTGTGACAAGGCGGTTCCACTTGATTAAATAACATTGTTAGACGAATGTGAATATGATGTTTTTTTTTGTTGAAAAGATGTCTACATGTTTAGGTTTTGGTATTACAAAGTAAGTCATGAAATTTACGATGAATTCGATGAATGAATGGTTTTTTTTTGGATATTTTTATTCGTGAAATAGTGATCTTTTATAAACATGTTTAATTTATGATATTATATTTTTTCGTATTTTGCCATTAAATTTACAATGTTTAAATGATAAAAATATAAAAATTAAAAGTATAATGTTGTAATAGAAATTGGTGATCTTATAATAAAGTAATTTTGAAAGTACAATGTTGTAATAAAAAATGTCATGTCAGCACTATCGTACAAGTGGACAGCCTACGTGGACGATGAGGTGGCAAAGAAACCTGGTATAATGGGTAAATAAAAGGTAACAGATTACCCAATGCTATAATGGGTAAATTTTTGAAAGTACAATGCCCTAATAAAAAATATTGTGAAAGTACATTGTTGTAATAAGAAAAACTGAAAGTAGAATGCTATAATAAGAAAATTTGTAAAAGTAGGTTGCTATTTTACGCATTTTGCCCTTGATATTATCATAAGCTAATCCAAACACTTTTTATATAACTTTGATTTGACACCATATAAGCAATTTTAAAAAAAAGTTGTTTTAAATAAGCAATTTAATGTGAACCAAAATAGTTTTCTCGTGCAATAGTGGTCGGTAGCTCACTTATTGCATTCAGTCGATATAGGTGTAATCTCCTTCCATTTTTTTTATACCTGTGGGTTTACAGATCAGCTTATGCCCGCCCGACTAATCTCCGAATGATCATAAATGGTTTGAAGTCATTGCAGGTGAACCTTTATGGCTACTAAGGTTTTGATAGCACCTAAGTTCGAACATGGGGAAAATGAGATTTCCATTTCACTACATCCCCTCTCAACCTTAACCAGTGTGTCACAACCCAGGTTTCCTTGATCCGTGGGTTGTACAACTGTTCCCTTTTTGCAAGGATAAAATGAGATTTTGTGCCTAAAATCCAAACGAAGGTAAAACTTTTACTGCATAAGTTTTTTTTTTTGTAAGGGTGTCCGGGCCAAAGCCCAACTAATCCCGGCAAATTTGGAGGCTAAACATGGCCCCACTTAAATGTCGCCAACACTCCACTAGTCTTTTACTGCATAAGTTACAAGTCATTATAAGAAAGAATCATAGAAGAAGTGGGTTTTCCTATTTCGTTCAAAAGGAATATTTTAAACATAGTTTTAAGAAAAGGAAACTGGGATATATATATATATATATATATGTGTGTGTGTGTGTATATATATATTACGTGTTATGTATCGAGTGATTACAAGTTGAAATTGAGATAATGGGTATATAGTAAAGTCGAGGGAATCTGTAACATCAACTGTTATATGGAATGGTCAGTTCGCTTGGAGATGTAGATACTCTCTTACTAGTACTTATGAAACCTAACTATTATCCTACTTTACTTTCATGCACATATTCTCTGCTTTCTTTTAAGTTCCATGACCACATTCGTGTGTATCTATATATACATACATACACATATCACATAATCATCTACAAATCCGATAACAAACCAACCACTTTTAAAAAAACAACATAGATGAACTTGTTTTATATGTGAAACGTTCAATGCAGTTTTATGTATGAAAGAAAACAGTCAAAACATTTCATATATGAAACAACACTTTAAAAAAACGGGACTCTCTCTCTCTCTCTCCCCCCCCCCC